AGAGGACAGCTTCACCTGACAAGCATTTCAGGAGATTGACATTATGTTATCTTCTCAGTTTCATGTCTGAACATCAAAAAAGCCACTATCAGAAAGAACCAGCATCACGCTTGCTCTTGAAAGAATCAGATGTGAAATAATCATGCATAGGCAGGCTCAGTCCAGCATACTAGAACAGCTGTACTGGATCAAAACAAACATTTTCCCTTCCTGACATTGTTTGACAGCAGCAACAGCAGATGCCTGGGAAAGAGCGGAGGAGATGGGAGGAAGAGGTATCACTACACTTATCCTATTTCAGACACTTCACAGCTCAGGGGCTATCAGTTAGAGACCACTACTTTGGAATTAAGTAATTCATAACTGATCCCAGGTCCCAGAGAGTATATTCTGTTGCTTTTGAATCCATGAAAATGATCATTGCCCCTATTTACCTTCTCAAGGTCACTTATTTTATAGGCCATATCTTTATCATTTCCCACCTAAATCATGTAACTTAACTGTTCCATATCCTTCTTATCCTTCTGAGTCACCCTTTCACTCTGCTATACCTCTCAGTGAGTTTTGGTTTCCATATTTGGTGGGTGGGAACGAGAAGAGCACAACTGTATTTCATGTATGCTTACAAAACAGGTTTCCCCAGTGGAACAGTGTTTGCCAGTTTGTTCTCTAGCCTTTTTCTAGCATTTCCTATCATTTGCAATTTTTTTCCTACTGTGCCAGCATACTCATAATAGTATTATAACCCCAAGATAATCCTAAGACCTCATTTCTCAAGTTTGCCAGTCTGCACAGAGCCCATCATTTTTTTTATCTAATGACAGAGTCCTTCCCATCCATTGCTGTAGTTAAGCCTCAGCTGCAATTTTATGGGCCAGCCATCTGGTACTAGGGAGTTCTGAAATTCTTCAGGAGCCCTGCTCTTTACTGTGCGGAATAACCTTGTATCATCAAACTCAGCTTGTATTTGAGCCCTTTCCCAGGTCACTTATAATCAGCATGAATGTGGAGCCCCACCATGACTTCCTGCCTTTCTGAAGGCTAAACTTTTAGTCCTTGCTATGGTCCCATGCTATTAGACTGTCCTATGCTATTTCCAAACTTTTTTCAGTTATATATCCATACAACGACCTTTCCTATTACCCTAGGCTGTGCTGCCATTCAGAGGGACCTGGACTGGCTAGAGAGCTGGGCAGAGAGGAACCTCATGAAGTTCAACAAAGGCAAGCGCAGGGTCCTGCACCTAGGGAGGAATAACCCCACGCACCAGTATAGGCTGGGGGTTGACCTGCTGGAAAGCAGCTCTGCAGAGAAGGGCCTGGGAGTCCCGATGGACAACAAGTTGACCATGAGCCAGCAATGTGCCCTTGGGGCCAAGAAGGCCAATGGGATCCCGGGGTGCATTAGGCAGAGTGTTGGCGGCAGGTGGAGGGAGGTGATCCTTGCCCTCTCCCCCTCTACTCAGCCCTGGGGAGGCCTCCCCTGGAGTCCTGTGTCCAATTCTGGGCTCCCCAGAGCAAGAGAGACACGGCACTACTGGAGAGAGTCCAGTGGAAGACTGAGAGGCGATCTCCTCAATGTGTCCAAGTATCTGAAGGGAGGGTGTCGAGAGAATGGGGCCAGACTCTTCTCCGTGGTGCCCAGTGACAGGACACGAGGCAACAGGCAGAAACTGAACCACAGGAAGGTCCGTCTGAACCTGAGGAGAAACTTCTTGCCTGTGAGGGTGACAGAGTACTGGCACAGGTTGCCCAGAGAGGTGGTGGAGTCTCCTTTGCTGGAGATATTCAAAACCCACCTGGACGCAATCCTGGGCAATGTGCTCTAGAAGACCCTGCTTAAGCAGGGAGGTTGGACTAGATGATCTCCAGAGGTCCCTTCCAACCTCAATCATTCTGTGATTCTGTGAATTTCTCTAAAAGCTTTTGGGAAAGAACTCTGGAAATTCAAGTAGAAGTTTTCATAAGAGATGTAGGAGTTCATGAACTTTGGGAGAGATAAGCAAGTGTAAGAAAAAACCCTAAAAGCACATATTCACTAAGACAGTTTATAACTAGACTGCAAAAGGAATCATGACATGCTACCGGTACTAGAAATACATTTACTATTAATTTTTGGTTACTTGCAACTTCCAAAAACAATGAACTTGTTTGTTTACAAGCCTGTAACCCCTTCCTTGTCTAAATGCTTCCATAACGTACTCTCAGTGGTTCAGCTGCCTCCATCCCAAGGTTCCAACGCTGAACTCAAACCCAGCACAGCTACATTATTTCGACTCAGAATTCTAAACAAAATTGAAGTTGTGGGAAAAAGCTGTGAGAAAGATTAAAAGGAGGTTGGATTGCTGAAATGGAGATCAATTAATAGCTCGAAGATGTGGGATAAAAAAAGAAGATCCATCAAAAAAGGAAGGTATAAGAATCTAAAAGAAAAAATAAGAAGGTGGATGAGTCACCAGCAGTCAGATGGGTCATCTGTTTTTCAGATTTCTAGTCTTGCTGAAGATAGAAGAGGACAACCTGGTAAGCTTGAGGACCTGACCCAAGGAGCTGTTGAAGCAGACCCTTCTCCTCCTGATTGAGGCCTGCTTGACTCAAAGCAAAGACTTTTTGGATGTTGTATAAGGGTGGTGAGCATATTTATTCCTAGCACAATTGCTAACTAAAGCTTCACTACTATCTGTGAATGTTAGCCACTAAGTAATTACTTCACACTTTGCATTTAGCTGTACAAAGTGTGATGCTACAAGAAAGAAACACATTCAAGAAATTAACTTAGCAGCAGTAACTGACTGGTGGAGAATGTGGGCAGCCTCAATCCTTTGCAGTAGTTCTTTTTAACTGAAAGATGGAGGCTGAAAGCAAGACTGTCTACCTGTAATTTATGGTGCTTTGTGAGGACTTCAGCTCTAGCTAGAAAATTTGTTACTAGTGATTGTAACCTGAACACAGAAATGATCACTTCCTAGAGGGGAAAAAAAGGAAATCCCTCCCTCCCAGAGGAAGTTTAGCCATGTGGATCATTCAAAATGCGTGTTGTCCATGGCAGAGGCCTGAAGTGATTAGTTTGGTGACACTGATAGAATGTTACAAGGTTTATTGTTTCCTCGTTTGTAACTAAACTACTTTTCATCAGCATGCATTGTTAGAATATGTACTGTCTCTTTAAGAAGGTGCTGAGAGAAACACCAGGCAGTTTTTCTTTTTTTTTTTTTAAGGCCAAAAGACCCTCTCTGTTTATGTACCAAACCAGGCCCAAGTAATTTAGGAACTAGCGAGGGAACCATCTATACTACTACTTTCTAATACTAAAGAGTAAGGTCTGCCCCAGGGCATTTCGTAAGACCTACAGAGCTGTTTACCTGCAGGCCACTTAATTCAACTAAGAAAAATACTGATGAGAATAACCTTTATTTTCATGTATGTGTTTGTGTACATACACGTGCGTATATATATAACACATACACCCCATATAGCTCATATGGGTGATACATAGTAGCCTTCATATAGGAAGCCCTGAGTCCTAGTTCAAGTTTCTCCATGCCAGAGTCATGACTACGGCTTAGATAAGTCAGTAAACTGTCAGAGGCAGTTTTACAGGCTTTTTAACAGTTCTCTACAATGAGATCGACTGTGCCAAGAGAACCTGATGGTTTTGATTGCTGTTGTACTGCACACGCTGTATGCTTTCACAGATCCAATGACTGCTTATTTATGCTAAAAATAAATTTCTTTGCTTGCTAGACAGAAGAGATGGACTCAACAGAAAACAAGCAAACAGACAACGAACACTGACAAAAGATCCCTGATGAAGGGTGGCATTTTGTTTGGAACATTAGCTAAGAAAAATATAAGATTAAAGTTCGTTACACAAATTTAATAACTCAGAACAGCTTGCTCTCTGGATAACAGAGCAGTTCATCTCAACTTTGTAACAAACCTCTGTTGTTTACACAAGTTACTGACGTTCGCAGTAAGATACGACAAATGCATTTTTATGTGTGCATTACAACACCAGACACAAATGCTGCTATCTCTGAAGAGTATTTAACATCAATCAAACACTACTTTTAAAGTTTTTATATAATAAATACATGCAAAAGTCACTTTAGGCAGACAGAGATCCTCACTACTTCAGTATCCTTTTGGTGTCTTGATTTGATAAATGTTCATGCAGGTGAAAAGTGTTCATTAATAAGAATAACCTGTTAGGTAAATAAAGCGTTAACGAAAAAGCAGCATTATATCCTAATGAACCATGGCTGCAGGAGACAGGCTGGACTGAAGGTATAAGCACTGTGACTGAAGATACTTAACCCAGCTGTAATGGCAGCTCACAAGGTAGAGCTGTAAGTGGACCCTCATCCTTATACAAAACCCTAACATGAACAGCAATGCCTCCGACGATCAAAAAGATAACAGTCCTCAGGAGGCAACAGAAGGGGTGAGCTGTAACCTCTCCCCTTCCCAACATTATTACACTCTGCATTGGTCTGCTAATGCACCACAAGCCTAACTTACACAGCAGAGCTGTGTAACCTTGATTTCAGATGTGAGAAAGAGCTGTGGAAAAGTCTGCAAAAAGATAAAGTGACAGACAGGCCTAAGACTGCTAAGACAGGGACTGTTGGTAGCTCAGGGACTGAAGAGGAAAAAACCCACCAACATGGAAAAGCGTAAGATCAAGGGCAAAAAGCATGGCATAGAGGAGAAGGGTCATCAGCAACTGGTTAAGCTGTCACTGTTGGAGTCAGTCAAAGGTGGTAGGTAAGTCAGCAGTACCAAGCCTTCACTCCAGCATGACTCTTCTCCTCCAAAGCAATGACAACCTAGCCAAAAGGAGTCTTTGGGTGTTGTTTCAAAGCCATTGTTTCAATTTGTCATTGCTGCATATCCTGAAAGAAAACGTAGGACTACCTAAAATAACACAAGGCAAATAAACATTCAGGGTGGTACTGAACGGTACTGACGTCTTCCACAAAAAGGATATTCAATACTCACTGTGCACACACGAGGCCAATGTTCAAGCTGACGGAGCACTGCCGTGCTAAGTTCCTCCTGGTACATTTGCTGGTAAATCTGTGGCATTTTTGACAGCCAGATACCATTGCTGTACCTGCTCAGAATCTCCTTAATGCGACTCTGAATTTCACTGATGTGAGGAGCAGAAGGGCCAGAGGGAACACTACGCGTCTCCAGAACAGATGCATTCAAGTTATCTGTTTAGAAAGAAACACAGCCTTGAAGGAAATAGTCATCTCAACAGCAGGGAGAAAGACAGTTGAAGCACACATGCCAAGAAGTGAAACATGAGAGCCCTCAGTCTACCACCAACTCTAAAATGCTGCTCTTTGCACACTGGAATCTTCATTCACTTTCTATTGGAAAGAGCCATGGAAGCCTCATACATTTAGTAAGCTATTGATCTTAACTACAGTGGTGAAAATTCAGCTTATTCTCATTAGCAGTTACTAATGTGTCTTCAGAAAGGATCTTGGAAGACGATGCAGATATGCCCATACCCCCAGCCATGCAGCCTCAAACACGGGAAGGGGAGCAAAGCCCTCTGCTGCTGAGAGGCTACAGTGAGGCAACATCCAAGAGTCACACAAGATAGTTTCTTTGAGTACAAGTACAACAACAAAGCTGCACCAAAATATCCGAGAACATTCTCAATTCAGAAGGAAGTATAAAACAGACCAAGGATTTGGTCTGTTTGGTCTGTGCTACTGGACTCCAAATAACCTCTCCAGCAAAGCAAGGAAGGAAGCCATAGCTGTTCATGTTAGTTTCACACAGTTCATGTAGGAGAGGGGTAGCCATTTGGTCATTGGGAGCTACTAGCTCATCTGCTACCTCATATCTACTCCTTCCCCCTTGCAGAGAAGTGTATTTGCTACCAGACCTTTAGCTTCACAGCTCATCCTGGCTCAAAAAAGCTAACATCATTTGACAAGCTTGTCAAATGCTTAACTGCTAGGAAGCAAACAGGCAGAAGGTCTTCTTCTGGAGAGGTAGGTTAGTATGCCAGTATCCATGTGACTACTTACTCCTGAAAGCCACGATGTCACTGTCCTCGGTCAGATCTTTACCCTCACACGGAAGTTAACCATACTCCTTCTGTTTCCAGGCTACTCACACTCACTACAAAATGGGCTTTGACATTTACTGCACAAGGATTTTTCTGCAAGACTGATAATTAGAGGGAGAAAAGCAACTATGCAAATTTCCCCATGAACCATGAGATCAGAGTGAGGAAGTTCATTCATAGAATTTGGCTCTCACTCAAAACAATCTTCATTTACACTGAGTTGAGCTGGGTTCTACTTAGTAGAACACCTAATCAAATACCACCATTATGAACAACAATACCTTCTCACAAGCAAATTTACCATTTAGATCCACAGAAGAGCTTCTGGATAGGTGAACCTGCAGCTCCTTCTGAAAGCGTGGTGGAATAGTCAGCCTCTTCTCAGGCCTGAAAGAAAAAAGAAAATTGTTTCAGCTCAGCTTCTAGGCTCTAAACAGCATTCCATTTGCTTACAAGATCTATACCTAAAATAAAATGCATTCCACATACTTCTAGCTGGCCCTCTGCACAAGACCAAAATTGACACTGTCCTTACCTGGAAGACAGCCTGATCAGTGGTAGCAAGATAGATCAACAGGTGGTTTCTTGTTTAGCCTGCTAGCCAGATTCTTGTGAGAACCACAATTCAATAAAAAGGCAGTAGCAAAAGGGAAAGCATCTATGCCCAAATCCACAACCAACAGTTTTAACATTTGACATGGACAGCCGGACAATTTAGTCTTTTGTCTCACTGGCATCTGTCTTGTCAGTGAGTATGCTTGTGCTCACCTTCTTGGTAGCCACGTTTAAGTCTACTAAAAGTGTTATGCTTCACAAGTCAGAGGAACACCTAAAACTAGGCAGGAATAAAAAGGAATGCAAAGCCTTTTTGCAAACACTGCTGCTATGCCGTTTAACAGGTTCCTCTCAGAAGCACCTTCCAGCAGAAAGGACAGAAGCATCATGCTTGCGCATGTTCTTCCACACTCCCTCCGAAAGCAGTACCTTAGACTGGGAGCACGTTCAGCACTATGAGCTTCTGACAGTGGAGAGACATTACAGCAATGCACAGCACACCACTTACACTGCATGCAAGACAGCAAAAGGCAGGGAGAAGGAGCTCAAAGGCCAGGAGCAAGCACTTCCCAAAGACATACACCCAATAAAGAATTGCATTGCAGCAGTAAGGGTGGCAAAAGCACCAAGGCAGCTTTCCATGGAAACACAGCTTGTTGTGTCAACCCCAGAGAGATCCTAGAAGGGCACAGAAGACCACTGAACATGGACTGAGCACACTCTGCCGATAGTCCTTCACGCATGGGGCCAGTGAGGAGGCCAGCCACCTCTGGCATCTCTAGACATCTTTAGAGGAAACTGCAAACTTAGTCACAAAAGCATTCCGGCTTCGCTTGGGCTCTTGGAAATGGTCAACTCCTGATCGTTACTAAACGCCTCGATGTTTTGCACACACTGATCTTAGGAAGGCAGTCAAGCATTGCATTGAGGTTAATATCAACAGCAATAGGAAGCCAAGGCTAGCACAGTATTAATGTAGCCCTACATTTCTTCACACTGACACAGCAAAACCACAAATATGAAAACGGCCTCCCACATTCAGACCACTTCTAAGCAGCATCTTCTAAACGTAACAGGGCCCCTTCTCCCCTGCTTTTCTGCTATCCCCCCCTAAGATGGCATCAATTAGCTGCAAGGTGTCACTTGAACCAAAAATAATATTTCTGTTCTAGGAAAGGGCCCAAAGCATTTCTAGTTCAGGAGAGCATTTTTCCCCAGCCAGAGAGGATGCTCTAGCAGTGCTCAGCAGTGGACCAACTACAAGCACACCTGGGAAACGCATACAGCACAAGACTCAGCAGTACTAAGGTAAAGGTCACCTGTGTCAAACCTAGAAGGGCCAACAGCAGCACTTCCACTGCAGGATATCACTCACATATTCACACCTTACGCTCATGGAGTGCCTGAAGAGGCTCTTCAACACCCTGGTAGCATCACAGAAAAACCTTCTGCCTTCCAGGCACAGTCAAGGCTCCCATGCAATGGGGCAGCACAATGCCTTTCTTAAAAGGAGCATAACGTCTGCATGGCCAGTCACAACAAGAAAGTCTGATCCTTTTCTCCAAACACTTCTCTGTACATATATTTACCACCATGGACAACTCTAAGCTGAACACACACTTGGGGAAACAGTTCCCTCAAGGGAAGTAGACTCCAAGAATACTATCACCATTGCTACATAGCAAGCAAAACCACCCCATGCACTCAGCCGTATCAGTAACAGAAACTATCATGCTACTGCTGACTCTTAGAGGGATCAGTAGCAATTTGACCCTTAGCACCACACACCATCACCACCACTGCAAGCCACACTTCAGGTGATGTGGATGATGCAAGGAAAGCCTGTGGCAACAGGAACAAGGTTTCAGCAATCTGCACTAAGGGTTGAAGGAAAATCTAGAATCAAGCCTGTCTTTCTGGCAACAACCAGACAACACCTGCAGTCATCTCCCTTCTTAATCTGAGAAGGACTCTCCCTGAGGAGCCAGGAGAACGGCAGCTGCTACTCTCTAACCATGCCTTTTGGAACATGTCAGAAAAGAGCCCTAGAACAGAGGATTGATGCTCCCCTTGCATTGAGACACAGGAAAGCAAATTTAATTTGAGATCCTCTCAGTATTCAGAAACATCATGGGATATCTTCCCAAGCTTCCTGCTGTGGCTCAACAGCTACCCACGGAATACAGCAGGTGCTATAGTCACCTTCAAGCACTCTAACAGGACAGGCATCCTGTGACATGCTGCCTGTTGATATGGACCATAGCCAACAACATCTCACTCCAAAGACGGACTGGCATGGGGTCAGAGAGCAGCAGGAACAAAGTTCTCCCCAGCACATGGACATGGAAAACTCAATCACTGGAAGGCTTTGTGTTCCCTAGCTGCTGGAAAGGATTCCCAGCAGAAGGTCTCCTGGAAGCAGCAGCAGTAACCCTTGATCACAAGAGAAGACATCTGCAGGATAGCACTTAAATGCCTGACCAACCACACAGCCCTGGAGAAGCCCTATGCATACCTATAATGGAACAGCTAAGTGCATTGCACTCCAGCAGCCCACTGTTTCAAAGAGGAGGGAAGGCATGCCTCTGACTGCCCATCACACTACTTTGGCAAGGCTCACATCATCCAGTTCAGCATTGTCCAACGGCTGGAATACCAGCCACAGCAGCAGAGGCAGCTGGTAGCCACCTGCAAATGCTGCCTCTTAGTCAAAGTAAGGGGGTCACTGAGCAGGTCAGCCTGTTCTCATCCCCGATGCCACTTTACACCTCCAACGGTCTCCAACACCTGCCTTACGAGTAAGGTCTTTCTTGCCTTATGTGGCCTTGCAGCAGCACCCTTAGAACAAGGTCATGATGGGAACACACACTGACAACCTGAAGGCAGGTAACTATCCACAAAGGCAGCTTCTCAGACCCTGCAACGCCATCGGCACACAGCACTGAGCACAAACTGGCATGACTACAGCTACCCTCAGCATTTCCCCCTCAGCCTTTTGGTGTGACAGAATATGTGGCAGAAATAGCCTGTCCCCTTACAACCAAGATCAAGCATCAACAGGCTCCAGAAGTTACAGCTGTGCAAATTACACAGCAAAGCACCATGGACGCAAAACACGGAGCACAGCCTGGGGCAACAGCCTCCCGTGACTGTCAGTCCCGTTTGCTGCAGTCCACAGACCAGCACCTCGCTAGCGCCGCCCCAAACAAACCTTTCGGGCGCCGATGCGGC